CGATGTCTATTCTACCCTGAATCAGTAATATCAGCGACGAAATATAGACCGGTTCTGTACTTCGCCTGTGGTAATATCAGAAATAACGTTGAAATGGTAAGAGGTCTCTAGAGTCCCTAAAACACAGGGCAAAATATACATAAGTTCTGTCAAAACCACAATAAATATTACATTAAGCATATTTTACCAATGACGAGGTACGGAAAGTTCTGTAGTTCTTCGTTAATTATTTTTCTTCCTTTGTGTTGTACATTTACGGATATTTAAATCAACATTATAGTAATATGCAGTCGCATTAAATGAATAATAAATTGTTAAAATAAAGTTTACTACTCATCAAGTACAAATATGAAATTACACTGTGTAACATATTAAATCATACCCAAATATTGTTCCTGTTTCAATAATATGTTATCTATATACAGAAACAATAATTCTTATCACACAGTCATTTCACGAATAATCTATTCCTTATCTTCAGAATACTTATATAATGCTTCATTGATATCATACTACAATTATTCAAAATGTGAATTTCAAAACATGACGTAATAAATTTTGCTACCAACTTTAACATTATGATAGATAATAACAAAATTGCGTTTTTAAGTTAAATATGCTATTGTTCGCAATGATACGTACTATAAGTCTGCAGAATTTGCTATAGGATTATGTAATAAAAATGTTTAATCAATACGGGGAAATTCCAATAATAGTTTCATCAGTCGTGATCAGTTACTTCGTTGATTTATCACTAAGTCTATAATGCTTTATCATTGTCTTAATATATAATTTATCATGGCTTAAAATTACTCTCAATTTGAGAATGCTTGTCTACTTTGTCAACTTCTTTACATTCGAATTGCCCGTACCCAATTTGTTAACGCACTATACTTACATATCCATAGTTGAAAATCATTTGTACACATACATATACATTACTCAGCCAAATAATTTGTAAAAGTGGATACGATGAAATTGTTTGTGGAAAAATAAAAAAAATATAGAATAAATTTTTTTCATTCTCAGCTCAGTTTTTGAGAAAATCGAGTTTGAAAATTTATCAAGTATACTTGAACATAGCCACTTCCGAACTGGGTAGGACTAAATAATCGACAGGAAATCATTCTATATGTAAAAGTAAGTCGAAAATGTACAATACAATTTTTTCATTTAAAATTTCATTTTCAAGAAAATAGAGTTCGGACATATTTAGTTAGGAATTGGCCTAATAAGTACATGCGTATGATAAATTTTCAAATTTATTTTTCTCGGAAACAAAGCGTCTTATGAAAAATTTTATTGTACATTTTCGATTTACTTTTACGCGTAGAATGATTTCCTGTTGATTAATCCTATCTATTCCGGAATGAACTATGTTCAAATATACTTGATAAAATTTTATGTTCAATTTTCTCGAAAACTAAGTCAATCTTGGATGTTGTGGATTGAAAATAAAATTGAATTCTTCTTAAAATGTAACATTTGTTCTTACATGAAACAACTTATATAAATAAGTCTTTAAGTAAATTTTAAATATCTAATGAATTCTATTATAGTCATATTTATTTAATTGCCATATTACTTTAAAATAGATTGCAATGAATGTAACTCTGTTATAAATAAAAATTCTGTGCAAGCGTATGAGATGATTTAGTTTAGCAAAAAAATTAGTAATATATTGGAGCATTACATATATATATGTGTATGTTTACTACTTTTTTGTATCGCACGTCACATCGTTATTGCGTAATAAATATTATGTTACTACATCGATATAATTATTTGCGTTACGAATGAGTAATAAATCCATTTGAAACGTAATACAAAGTATCAGGTGTAATATTATCGTAGGTACGTATGATATGATAATATAGGCACAGATATGAAAAGTTAATAATTCACTTGAAACTCTTGAAAGCATCACCTTTAACAAGAAAATCGCATGATGTCATTACAATGCGTATATTATATATATGTGTGTTCGTGTGTGTGTGTAAATGACTTTTATGATCCAAATTATTCTATGTATATTGATTACGTATACATATCATACCTAATCACTTCTTAAAATATAATACCTAATTGTAACGATTTAAGATTAACATTTATTCTAATTCTTGTTAAACGTATTTAGTATCAATCTAGGGAAATAGTAGAAACTAGCGTTAGCGTATTAATTGATTTCTTTGAGAGGATTGACCTACATATTCCGTGTTATTTTGTAACCAAGGTTATTTAGTCACAAAATCATTACCGAGAACCACCACCTTAACTACTATCGGAACTACTATCATCTTTTCGTAGATTTTCTATTTTATTTGATAAAATAATGACAGTGCATACAAAAATATACATGCATTCGTCCTTATTTTTATGTAAAATTAAGTATTAATTGCATAAACGTTGTTCTATAATGCAATGTCAAAATATGTATAAATCGTAATATCTTATCGTTGATTAAAAAAAGGCAAAAGATATTGAATGGTACGAATTGCGTCGCAACAGAAGTGAACAGTGGAGGTATACCAAAGATCGAAGATAGTGCAAATTCAATTATTGCACCGTATTTCGTGTTAACGTAACGTTTAGTATTAATATAATGAATTGTAATATGTGCAATTTGTTCGATTATCCTTCAAAATTGCGTACACTTCCTCACTATGATATAAACCATTACTGGGAAGTACAGTATGATCTATCTAGACATTCGGAAATGTTCGTGGACAGGGCCGGATGGAAGATTTTTAAGGCCTGGAAATATTGACCCAACGAAGGCTGGCTTTATAGAAAAATATGAGAGTGGATTAAAATGATATAAATTTACATAAATATGAAATTACATTTATATTCTGATGGGTTATGTTTAAAATTTTTTAAAAGACAGTATGCATGTTTAGAAAATAGTTATTTCTTTTAACTTTCCATAAGATAAACAAGTGAATTATTCGTTATAGGCGTAAAATAAAATGTATTTTTATTGAATGGCAAGACTCGGTGCTATAGCCTCCTTTAGTTCCCCTCTTAATCCGCACCTGTTGGCGGATCTTTGGAGGTCTTTTGGAGTACAATACAGCCAGTACGCAACTTGTTTCGCCTTCCCTATACTTTACGTATGAGCGTGACACTAGACACTACTCTATGGGACCCAAGTCTGAAGGAGAGAGAAAGATAGAAGGAAAGTGAATGTAAAGGAAGAAAAGTGTGAGAGAGGGAGGAACAGAATTACTGAGGAGGATTCTGAATTCCGACCACAGCGCCCAGTCGTTGACGAACATCGAAACCGTTGGTTCTATACTACTTGTAGTCAAGCGTTAATTTCCTAGAAGAAACAAAAATGGTCGTCCAAGTTATGAATGCTGTAAGTAACTAGATACGTATATATTTGTGTGATTCGTTACATATGTAATTCGTATAATATGTGTTAAATAATTTATAAATCAGACTTAAAAATACAAGAAACAAAAAATTAGTTGGTTAGGCTACAAATATAATTTATTCGCATTTCGCGTACTTTCTACGAAATCGATTAGCTTTGAAATAATCGATTCAAACTTGCTTAATTCTACTTGGTAGCAAAGTTTCCATTATAATACAACGAAGAGGTTTCTGTAGGAAGCATGTCTGATGTAGTTGGAATCATCATTGGCACATCGAATCGTACCGGCGTTCGTTTATCTAGTAAGTTTAAGTGCCATGGAATTGATGTGGTGAACATTTTCGACTGTGACGTTCACGTTATATTACGTCAACTCCAAATAATTCCAATTGCGACATCGATGTAGTTCGTGGCATTGGCGTGATTCGTTGTATCGAAGCATGCAATTCAAACATGCTTCCATGATAGATGAGTTTTATGGGCGGGACAATCTAACTCGATGATGATCTATTTATTGATTTTAAATCATATAATTGATAAAGATACTTCAAATAGAATTGTACCCAAAAACGATTTTTATATTTTTTCTTTTTTATTAAATTTTATTTTTTTTTAAGTATAATTTGTTAAGTTTAGAAAAATTATTAACTAAAGGAAATATTCTTCGTACTTCAAATAATGTTATTGATATATAATTCTAATTTTCATTAAAAATATCTACATGCACTATATTTAATTTGCTGATAGGCATGTGGTAACTATAGCTAGCTAGCTAGCCAGAACCAGGTATCTATTTAGGACAAATATAAAGCTAATATAATAGTATTGAACTATTACAGTAGGGTAATTTATTACATTTAACAGTATAATGTATTTGTATGTTATCTTTGCAGGCTGATCTAAAAAGCCAGCTTGAGAAAGCTGGAGATAATTTAGTTGTAGTTGATTTCTTTGCTACATGGTGTGGGCCTTGCAAGATGATTGCGCCCAGATTGGAGGAGTTATCAAAGGTTAGATAATTTACCTTACATAAAAAGATTTCTGTTAAATAATTCTTACAAAATATTTTTCTGTAATAGGAAATGGAAAATGTTATCTTCTTGAAAGTTGATGTAGATGAATGTGAAGACATTGCTAGTGAATATGAAATTAGCAGTATGCCTACCTTTGTTTTCATCAAAAATAGTAAAGTGGTATGTACTGTTTTAAGTTAATATCTATTTCATATAAGAATACAGTTAAGAATTCATAATATAATGTATAATATAATGTTTTAGCTGGAAACCTTCTCAGGTGCTAATTACGACAAACTTAAAAGCATGATTCAGAAGCATAAGTGAATAAATAATTTTAATGGCAGAAGTATTTTTTAACAGAATTGTCTATTGATTATCATTAATCAATAAAGGTAACTAGCAAAAATCTCATAATCATTAAAAATGAAGTTATACTTTACTTGCAAAATGTAAGGGACATAATTTTTTGTTAATACACTGTCAGTTTTATTATACATATTTTGTTGCAAAATAAAATGTAATCAGCTTATAAAAAAATATACATCCAATGTAATTGTTTCTTATGCTATTGTCTGATAATGTAAAAAATAATTTTCAAAATTTGGCATAAAATATTAAATTTATTTACACAACTGCATGTATCTAGTAATTTATTCTTGACATTAACCCTATTCACATTTATTATCCACCTACTGACAAGGTAGTTTCTGGTTGTTTCTGTATTTTTACCAATAACGAACATGACCCAGTACCAGATTTACAAGGTTGACCTAACATTAATCGACTAGAGGGTGATACTAAATTATCTCGTTTTCCTGTAAATAAAAGGTATAATTAACACCGAATTTTTCAATGAATAAATAATTCCGTCACTTTCTCTGTTCTCTTACCTTCTAAAGTCGCATTTTTCAAAAAATTAAGGGAACTTTCAAAACTCATTTGTTGCAATGGAGATGCTGAACCTTCCATTCCTTTACGACTGAGAGGTTGAAATCTACCATCAAAAGTCATGTAATCCGCAATTAAAGATAGATGTCTAGAATCAACTGTGATTCCATACATCTTAAATACATCTCTCACTTCTTTTATAATAACTCTATTAGCAGCTTCAATACCATATGTTTGAGAAATACCATAAATGTCATTGGAATATAATTTGTTTAAATTTAGGGATTTATCATATTTGAACATTTCCTATATTACAAAAAAATTGCGAATAAATAATAAAATGCAAAATTGTGATCATATACACATATGCATTACAATACAAAACCTTTACTTACTACTATGTTGATACCATCAGTTTTAAGAATTGTCTCTCCATTATTATTTTGAAATGTAAAAGCACGTTTTACGTGAGGTACCTCCCATAAAACAACTCTATTTGCAACATTTCTAGTTATCGTTGGTAAATCCAATTTTAACATTTTAAGAGGTAACTGCAGAAGAAGATTGTAATCATCAGTTAATTCCTTTTATGAAGAAGAAAATTTGTAACTCTTACTATGATATTTACCCAAAATGTTAATTTACACCATGTGAATTTATCCTCGTCATAATCATATTCTATTACATGAGTATACATATTTTTAATATCCCTCTTTCTCTGTGCACTGTAAGTTTCATTTACAACATAGTCTGGTTTCTCATGTTCTGTATCATAATCATCATCGTCTTCATCTTGTGGTTGGTCATTAGTTTTCAATTTTTCATTTTCATGCTCTACAACAATATCATCTTCTCTTTCATTTATATCTTCTATTTCTTCTTCTTCTTCTGGATCCTCATATTCTTGATTTTCTCTATGACGCGAAATTGATCGTAGTAAAGTTGCATCTGCATCCTCTGCTGCTGCTTCTTCATCTGAAGATTCGTGCATTTCTCCTAAATTTGCGTGTTTCAATGCAGATTCTGCTCCTTCATCAGGTTCTGCTTGATCTAATAAAGCATCATCCTCATACATAGATTTCTTTTCCTCTTCAACATATACTAAAGCACCTGTTACTTTAGCAATCTTTTTAATTTCTTTAAACATTTCCTTAAAAAATACTTCTTCAGTTTTTTTCAATACCTCATGTGGTTGAATACAAAATTCCGATTTATAACATTTATGTGGAAGATAATTAATAGTCATAGTATACACTAATTGTCTATTTGGCAATTGTTCCATTTTTCTACTTACATTAATATTGTCTAAAACATTGGATAAAATGCATTTTGTTAATTGCAACCTTAATTTATTTGAGCGTTTTGTTACATTCTTTAAGTCCTTCCGGAATGGTATCTCCATGCTAGGCGTTTTAATATTTTTTGATGCCATCATAAGTATTTCACGTAATCTGGGTATACCCAAAGTAACGTTCATTTCTCCACGACCAGCGAAGTGGAAGGTATTTAAAGTCATCTGAGTTGATGGCTCCCCTATTGATTGTGCTGCTAATAAACCTACTGGTTCACCAGGCGGGCAAACAATTTTCATTACCTTCACAGACAAGAGGTCTCTTAAATCTTTCTTTTTTATAATCAAATTGTTAGATTTACTGCCTATATATTCGTCCATTAAATTTTCCAATCGTTCAGAAAATACACCAAAATCTATATCTTGTCTATATTTTGACATTATTGGATCAGGACATCTTGTACATTCGGCATAAATCCATTTTTTATCTTCTTCACTAGTCTTTAACCACTTTCTCATCAATGACAGAGATGCTTTGCTTCTCCCACTATTTTCATTAATTTCCTTATATTTCGATTTCTTAATATTCATATCTTCCCTTGAAAACCTTGTAAATGGACTAATTCTTCTCTTCTGTAATGCACTTCCGTTTTTACTTTCCCATTTTTTAATTTTTCTCACTACTTTTAAAATTTTATCTGTATCTGAGTCCATTTTTAAATTCTTTACTATTTCTTCATTGAGAATCGCATTTTTATTGTCTATTAAGAAACTTAATTGTTCCTTCCTCAAAAATTGTGAACCTGGTATATCAAGCCCATCTTCGCCATAATAAATTTGCACCATACTACCGTCTGAGTCTCGTACTGTTGAATCATAATTAATACTTAATCCTTCAAGATGTTTAATAAGACATCTTTGTAAATAACCTGATCTACTAGTTTTTACAGCAGTATCAATGAGACCTTCACGGCCAGCCATACAGTGAAAAAAGAATTCTTGAGGTTTGATCCCTGTCATAAATCTACCATCGATAAAACCACCAGCTCTTGGTGTAGGGTCATATGCAGGGAAACTTGGAAGGCTTTTCCCACTGATCATTAAAGGTGGCCTTTTTCCTTCCAACTCAATCTGTCCAAGTAAGCAAGATATCTGCATAGTATTTACGGTAGAACCTTTTGCACCGGATTGAACCATCAATTGTAGATTATTATCTGGAAATTTTTTCAAAAGACCAGCTGGTAAACAAACTTTATTTATATCATTAGTATAGACATCTAATGCGCTTTTATATTTTCGATCGATTTGAGCACGGAATTTAGGATCACTCCAATAAGATTCTTCAATTTTAGATGTAACAATATCCATAGGTATATCATCGGGTAATTCTAACACTGATCTCTGTATATTTTCTCCAATTTTTCTACAGTTAGAAATAATTTCTTTCCGTTTCTTATCTGCTTTATTTAATAATAAAATATCTTCAATACCAAGAGTAAATCCATTTCTTTGTAAAGCAGCTTGAAATAATTTACCAAAGGCACTTAATAACTTTGTAGAGCATATTCCCCCATATAGTTCGAAAATACAATGTACAAGACCAAATGGAGTTGCACCATAATGTGTCTTATCAAGTACACCACATAATAATTCTCCATTTCGTATTATTACTTCGGCTTCTGACATTGTTTTAGGATCTAAAAATTCAGTACCACATTTCCACTGCCGTGCTTTTTCAACTTGCCATTCTTTTACACTAATCTTGGCATTTGCTGTCAAATTGATACGTGCTTGATTTGGTGGAATAATATTAATGATAACAGTGGATACAATTTGTTTACCAGACCATAAGGGTACTGGTTTTATAATACTGGGAGGAAGAAGAATTATATTATCCTGTATTGTAGATAAAGCAGCATAAACTAGTTGCATATAATCTTCACGTGGAAAGAATGTCCCTCTTACTGTTAATCGCACACCGGAAACCATATGATCTTGAATGAGACCACTTAAAGGAGTACCATCTTTAGGTACAAGATATTGATTAGATACATTGGCTATATTGTAGCCTTCACTTCTAGCTAGTTCATTTTGGGGATAATGAGCATTCATCTCATCACCATCAAAGTCTGAATTATAGGCTTTACAATTAGCATAATGCAAACGTAATGTTTTTTCTCCCTTTAAAATACGTGCTTTATGAGCCATTATACTAGGCTTATGCAAAGTTGGTTGACGATTTAACAGCAGAATGTCTCCATTTTGTAAATGCCTATGTATAATTTTAATGCCTTTAAAAAATTTGTTTGCTTTATCACTTGTTGTTAGAAGACGTTTTGCAATGGCTTCTCTTTGAACAGCATTTGTGTTAGAAATGCGTTGTATACTTCCATCCTCGTGTTCAACCATTACTGCACCAGGATGAATATTAGGACCGTTTAAAACTAATTGTCTTAACTGTACAACATTCCAAGGTGTAACTGGTGTTGGATATGTTAATTTCATTGCAAAAGCTTCAGGAATACCAATTTCATCTATGTTCAAATTAGGATCTGGAGTAATAACAGAACGAGCAGCAAAATTAACTCTTTTACCCATCATATGCATTCTAATAATTCCTTCCTTTTTCTCTATAACTTGCTTTAAACCCTGGCAATTTGCAGAATCTGCAGTTCTATTCATATCACGATCCATTAAATGATCCACATTTATTTGCAGATTTTGCCAAGCATTGTGTAATTTTTCAACTGCTGTATTACCTTTTATTTGTTCAAAAACAAGTTTTCCCTCTTCTGTTAGTTGATTTGTATCACCATCTTGAATTGTTTGAATGATATTTCGAAGTACAAGACAATCTTGGATGATACTCTTGTAAACTTGAGATTGTGGATGTTCTATCATTTGTCCATTGACAAAATTAACTGGCCTAACTATAGGTGGTAAAACTGGTATTACTTCAAAGAAGAATATATCAGTTGGATATTCAATATCTACCATTCCAAAGCAAGGTATAAGTACTTTTAAGAAATCTCTCTCATTTTGCCAAAGCTTTCTGAGGTAATCTTTAGATTGATCTGGCATTATCATAACTGACTCTAATTTATGTATTACTCCACGTGATTTTACTGTCCGAGGAGTATTAGGTGTTTCAGGCATTTTAGTGGTCATAATTTTATTTTTTAGTGTTGTAATTTTTGGTATAGGTTCTTGACAATTTACACAGATTTTCAATGATGCGTACTGCTTTATAACATTTTCAACATATGCGTGCCACTGCATATTGATATTTTTGGTATTTAGTTGAATTTCATCATATTGCACAATAGACTGATTAAGTTTTGGTCTATTGAGAAGATTTTCAGTATAATTATCAATTACATTTTGAACAGCTTGCACATCAACTTCATAAGGATTACCTGAACATGAAACAACAAACATTATTTCTTGTTCTAAACTTTCAAGCTCACTGAGATATCCTTTTTGAAGTAAATTCAATTTTGCAGTAAGTAACAATTTTACATAAGATGGAATTTGTAAAGAGAAACAGTTTAGACATGCTAATTTGATTAACATAGATAATCGTCTATGAAACAGTGGATTTACTACTGGCATAGGCAATTCTATATGTCCAAAATGACCTGGACATTTGAATACATTGCATCCACATGTTCCACATGGATCCGAACTTTCTAAAAGTGACCCTAGTTAATAAAAGGAATATGTATTAGTAAATTGTACTTTTACTTTCCCTAATTCGTATAAAAATATAAATAATACATATAATAATTTGCATTGTTTCATTTATTACCTAATGCTGGGTCATATAAACCTCCTTTTAATGGATGTCCCAAAATATTAAATGATAATGGTGTCCTTATTTTAGTAACACTTAAATTTCTTATATCATTTGCAGTAAACATAGAAAACATTAAACATTTTGGATCTAGATGTTTTGGAGTTAGACGTGGAGTATGATACTTATGTTGCACCATTTTGACAAATGTTGCCTCGTAGCCTTTTTGTTTCTACAAAACAAGTGGATTGTTTTTAATAATTTTATCGATAATTTTTAAAAATGAGAGTTTATTTACACCTCTTGTAGAATATTTTTTTGAGAAAAATGATGTAAGTAACCTTAATAAATCACTTATTTCTTATTAATATTAAATATTAACTGGATTAATAACAAACATTGTCTAGAAAATTTCATTCAACATGATAATAAATCGTATAGGTTATGATACGTTAATCACATGGCTGCTACCGCTATACCTGTATATATGTAGTAAAGTATGCGTTTGGTCGATCTTTGACCAACTAAAAATCGATAGTTACATCGATATATTTATCGTTAAACTATTATTGCAATAGCACAAGATTTCGTCTGAAACTAGGACGTCAATGAAATGGCAAGTGAATCGAACGAAAAGAATTTTAATCTTTGAAATGTAATTTACGGATAAAAAGTTATTTGTAAGAGTTAGGAACATTTACAACCAGTATAGTAATGTTACAAATATAAGCTTTAAAGATTTGTCTTATATGGTATATAAATAACCATAGTGTATAATAGAGCATTTATTAATATATCATGTGTTTACTTCTATGTCTGTATTGATACTGCATGGTATTCGCTTATTATAATAATGTAATTTTGCAAAAATATTACATCTAATGAACGTGAGGAAAGAATCTTAAATAAAATACATTTTCGAAGTGCATTACAAAGATGTTAACTCCACGATTTGAAATAACTCAAACTGATACAGAAGTCGCAATAATCATTCATGCACCATATGCCAATATCAAAGACACGGAGGTTTATGTTGATGGAACAGATTTCAGATTTTATTCTACACCATATTATTTGAGGTAATGTAATAGTATTTAATAGTTATAAATATTATTTTAATAAAATTTCTCTATTTTTAGGTTAAGACTACCAGGTGAAATTGAAGAAAATGACTCATCATTTGGCTCATACGATTGTGAAAAAGGAGATTTCTCTTTAAGATTTTCAAAAGTAGTAAAAGGAGAATATTTTGAAAATTTGGATATGATAAGTACATTATTAGCTCCACCAAAAAAGAAGAGTACAATTGTACCAAATATTGAGGTAATTGGAAATCCATCAGCAAATTCTGAAGATATTAATGATATACCGAATGAGCATGAATTTACACCAAATGATGAAAACACTAATGGAGATGAATGGTACATGCATCAGGACAATACTATAGAAACCGTACCTCTTTTGCCTGTATCTCCCAAATATGGTTTTGCGAATAAAATATCTGTAGCTTTAGCTGCTTTTGAGGTAAATGCATTAAAATATTTAATATATATATATGTCCTACATCTATACAGCATCTAGTAGTGGCATATAACTTTCACTTTTAATTTCAGTCAGCATGGATTAAGGAAATAATAGATCTTCCAATGCCAGATACAATACCTCAATCTGAGAGAAGAAAATTGCGAGAGAAACGTGAAATTTCAGATTTTAACGAGGAACATTATTTGGCAGATCTTATGCAACCAGAATGCATAGAACCATATATCTTATTTTCTGCAGAATGGGACACTTTGAAAAAAGAAGATATTTCTTTCAATGAAACTCAAGTAGATTTATTAAAAGAACTCCCAAACAAAGAATATTTATTAAACAATGAAGAAACACATAAGTTACTTTTAGGTTTAATGGATATTTTATTTGGTTGTTGCTATAATCACAGAACAACATTAGGAGAAAATACAGTTGAAAGTAGTTGGACTATTAATAAATTAAGTTCCACTTTGTGTTGGTTTGATGTATGTAAAATGTTTACAGAAGTACCAATAGTTATTTTTATTATATTGTCTTATATATTGATAATAATATTTTTAGGAGTTTTCTGATGCGGAAGAAGTTGTAAAAGCTTGTTTTAGAAGATCAATATGTTATCCACTTTTTAGAAATTGGGATTTGTCTAAAAAAGTTTTTGAAGATGTAAAGAAAGTAATTAAGTTAGGTAAGTAATGAACAAAGCACAGGTTTTTTAATTTACATTATTTCATTTAGTACATTATCTTTTATGCATAATATTTTTTCATAAATTTTTAGGTAAAAAGTATATTATAAAACATTTTTGTGAAGTACATAGTTTGTTTAACAATTCGTGTGAACCGCGATATATATTAAATCAGTTGTATATAAAAGATTATCTGATCTGGTTACAACAGATTAATGAATCATTAATAGAATCATTGGAATCTCTTATCGCTAATGTAAGTATATAAATATTAAGGAGTAACTTTTTAGGGTTTATTAATGTATACTTATTTCTCTTAAGGTTCAACCTTCCAAAGATGATATGCAACTTGACTTAGCAGAGCTAGAGCAAGCAGCTTATTCTGTGCAAGAAGAAGATCTTATTATAGAAAATTCTGTTCATGAAATAGTGGATCAAATGGATGAATTAACAGTTAATGACAATGACAAAGATAAGTAAGTATAATGTACAAAATATTTCGTAACTTTTATAAAATTTTGGGATTCATTGAAGAATATTATATGTCTTTATGCTATATGATTTTATTTTAAAGGCCAAAGACTATATACTACATTAAAGACAAACATTCTTTAAAGTATTTGTAAGTATTTCAATAGAATTGATTTGAATATATTCCTTAACAAAGCTTTCTCGTTTACCTCTTAATAAATGAAATAAATATTTGTACATATTCTATATATATTTTAATCTGAAATATACTAATATAATACACTAACTTCTAAAATGCACATTCCTTTGGTGAATTATATGAACATCAAATTGTAAACTTATCAGTAATAAAACTTATAGCAATAACAAATTGCCACTATATTTGCACATTACGCATGGATGAAATGCACAGTAAGGAAGATTTGTAAAACTTATTATTTCCTTCATTTTTTAGTAATGCACATGTAAATTATGTTTTATATAGGTTATCGAGTAGTTCGAGTTCAAGCGACAGCAGCGATACTGATTCTGAAAGCGATTCAGAAAGTAGCACTTCTAGTACCACTACAACAAGCAATAGTAATAGTTTGGACTCGGACGATGTAAGCGAACCAGAAGAAATTACAAATGAGTATACTTATTGATATATACTTAAATAACGAAATCTTTCTAAAAACAACGTTTTTGAAAGTTTTTTCTTATTTATAATATTATAAATAAAACTTCACGATTCTACCTTATGTGTTCATAAGAATATTTATACATACTTATATGTACACTACACGTGAAGCTGTTTTTAAGATGTAAAACGATGTATAAATAAGAGATTCATTTCCGTTTCTATTTTACAACTATACAACTTTATGATTATTTGTGTAGACATGTTTTTACGATACTCTATTTGTCATAAGTGTGATTGATTTGTCAAATGATATAGTAAATCCATGTTAATAATTTATTATAATGCTCGATTAATCTTCGTTGCATAAAATCATCCAAATCATTGTTATTTGTAATATTCATGTCTGAATCAGTTGAATCGATATCGCTTGGTTTTAATACATTGCTTTCATTATCGAAAGCATCATTAGTATTACTTTCTGTATCCTCTGCCTAGAATATTTTATAAAACTTTAATTGTAAATGAAAAATGCTCTGAAAAAGAATTTTTAAGTATCATTACCGTAGCGTAGTCGTAATCTGTATACTCTGTATTTTCGTCTTTATTATTGAGTTCATCTCCGTCGATAGTTTGCCAATAATCTGCTATTTCTCCATATACTCCTGGGCTCTCGTCTACACTGTGCACGAATTGAGCCAACGTTTTATCGTCTAATATCGTTGATTCTGACCTTTTTAATGCTGCTGGCTTATCGTTTTCAACGATTAAAACGGGTCCAATATATTGTTAGAAGAAACTTATTGTATTTACTGTGCATACCATACCTCTTGATCAGAACTTGTACTTTTACTATTAAAATGATCATGATAATCAGGACTTCCTGTTTTTAGAACTAAGTGCGTATATTTTTTAAATGTTCCATTTTCTTCATGTAAATGCGGAGCGTATAATATAATACGTAAAGGCATATTCTCGTCGTTTGGACTTTGTGGCTCAGTATTCTTACTTACTGTTAAATAACGTGAGAAATAAAGATTTGTGAAAAGAAAAAATGATATGTTTTATATATCTTATGTACTATATAAGTTATATATATTTTAATATAAGCAAATAAAAAGCGAATTCAATATTGAAAATTAAAAATATAATATTGAAAATTCAATATCAATTATGATGATATTTGATATTTAATACCTTCTTGTTCTTTCATTTTCACATCTTCCAAACTAATATTTGATTCAATTTGAAGGTCTTCGTGATTTCTTGTTAAATCAGTATTTGAATCGTTACTCGTGGAAGAGTTGTTATTACCATTTACGTGCTTATTGGAAAAGATACAATCTTGCTCTTCACTGTATACTTCGGTCGTCGCGAAGTTTGATATTATAGTCGGTATCTGAGTTTGTTCTTGTTCCAATGGTATTTCAGAAGTTATTTCAATATTCTTATCGGTAAAAAGAATGTTGTCTCGTACATTGTCATCGTTTTTCATATTTTCTGTAGTTCGTACCGTTGACGACTCAGTTGTGATATCATAAACCGTACTTCCATTATTGTTTGGATTAAAAGGAACGACGGTACTGGTATTTTTATCATCTTCAATTTCTTTTAATTCCTCTGAGGATATATTGCTAGTCTTTAAATCGGTAAATACTCTTTCTGTACGCGTATCAAGATTTTTATCTATCTTTATTTCATCTGAATTGATAGCTTTTAAAAGGTATTCCTCGTATTCCATTGAATCGCGTGCTATCGTTGATTGTTCCTATTTAGCAAACAAATAATTTTTTTATATATATTTGCGCATTCTTTTTACGACTAGATTAGATTAAAGATTAAAAAAAAAAAAATCCCGATATTATTATTGGAAAATTTATCGAATTCTGCTTACATGGCAAGGACCACACGGATCATCGTTGTACGTGGAAAGAATGGCCGCTTTAACGTAAGGGAAGTATAGTATACTCCAGGGTACTATGATCTGATAAGTTACTTTACCGCAGCTGTAATAACATTTTATTGAAATTATCGACATTTAATTCTTATTTTAATAAAATTGTAAAAGCAAGATGAATTTTTCAAGTAGTTATTTTTTTAAACATATTTCTATCTTAGTAAAAGCTAATTTAA